GTCCTCTGTGGTCTTCTGTGACATATCATCTTCTGTCAGTACTTGCAGTTTTACTTTTTCTATACTTTTACATTTAAGGAACTGAGAGCTAACAGCCATCCTTATCTCATGGTACACCTCTCCTTGATATATCACCTTTATTTCCTCAAAAAATGCAGATAAATCTGCTATTTTAGCCAATAATGGCCTTAAAAAAAGTTTCATCTCAGAAACTTTATATCAAAAAACTTTCACTATTCCAAACCCAATTGAATGTCATCTCAAAACAATTTTCATAAACAGTTTTACCTTTCTCAATAGTTTTGAATGCAACAATACCTTCCTTAATTCAAAACAGTCTTTTGAAAGAAACATAATGGGCAATAACAGCCCATCTCGGATAACACTTGACCGGTAATTGCCCTTCATCGGACAGCACATGGGCAATGAACTGCCCTCATCGGTCAACACTTCATCGGACAATACTTGGGCGATGAACACCAAATCCGAACAAGACTTGGGTGATGAATCACCCTTATCGGTTAACACTATGATCGGCGAATATTCTCACTGGTCAACACTATGACCGATAACATCCTCATCGGTCAACACTTAAAAATAAACATTCAATCCGAGTAATGCTTTGTACGATAAACGTCCTTACCGAACAAAGCGTGAATCACCCAATCCGGTCAACACTTGAAATCATAAACACTAAATCCGGTTAACACTTAGGCAATAAGATACCCAATTCGGACAATACTTCATCCGATAAAGGTCCTTACCGGACAAAGCTTTGTCCGATAAAGGTCCTCATCGGACATCACTAAAATGATGAGTGTCCGCATCGAACACTACTTATGAGTTAAGAACCTTTCATTGGACAACATAGTGTCCGATATAAATCCCTCATCGGACCATGCATTTGAACAAAAAGATATATGCATATAATAGAACCTGATCTTAATTATCATCATGTAAAACAAAATATTATCAAAAATATCATATTCATATTTAAGTACATTGAAAACTCACTTTATATGCAAGATTGAAGATGAATACAGCTGTAACATCCTCCGTCCCCGTGGTCCAGAACGGGCGGTGTCACTAACGGGACTTAATTCTAAGAGACAAACATTGCAGAACTACTAATAAAATCAAACATAGATTAACTTCTAAAACATGCTTTACAATCCAAAATATTACATTCTAACAATTATTTATAATTTTAGAATATTATACATCTACCAACGAGTTTACCAACTCCAAAAAGTCAAACGCTCGATCTCAAGTCTCGTCCATTATCAGTATCACTTGGAACCTACCGTGTCAGAAAACAAGAACACGGCTGAGCACAGGGCTCAGTGAACAGATTGTATATAAACTTGAAATAATAATACGTAACATCGATAATAAAACGGAAGACTTAAAAATCAATTAAACTGAATTCATAGAAATCAAGACGTTTCACAGTTCTCATTTCAAAACATCATTTAAACACAATCCGTCAATTCCTGTAGTGTTCGTGGGGTGGCCAAACCACACGAACTCTCGGGCCGGCGTGCTGGCATACACCCCAAGTCCCCCGTGAATTTAACCACGGTCACATGGTGGGTAATCCTAGGATCGATCCATCCGCCCTGGAGCCAATAAAATCGGCCTAGTCCACAAGGTGGGTTCACGTAAGCCACTATTGGGCCTAACCTTGTGGACCGAGTTCACTTGCAGGACGCCATGACTACAAAGCCGCCATAGAAGACATCCCAAATAATGTGTCCATTAATTGAGTTGTTCTGAAAACCAATAA